CCAACAGCCCTGTGGGGTAAGCATTGTTATCATCATATCAACTTGAGATAAGGTAGGTAGAAATTCTAGAGATGGAGATGCAGGGGTGAGGCGCTCTGAGCAGAGGGAACTGCACACGCTTGTCAACAACCTCTCCACCCGGGTAGGGGCTCCCGACCCCTGATATCTGTGTCCCTTGACTTTTTAAAAATTTAGTAAAATAGATGCAACATAAATTTTACCATTTTGACCATTTTTAAATGAACAGTTCAGTGGGATTAAGTACATTCACATTGTTGTGCAATCATCACGACCATCCACCTCCAGAAAACTTTTTCATCTTTCCAAACGGAAACTCTGAACCCATCGAACACTGTCCCTTGCCTGTCTCAGCCTCAAGTGGAAATGGGTCTCCCTCGTGACTGGCATTATGCCTATGGATTCCCTAACACACCTTTGCAAACAGTCTTTTTTATTTTTTCTTTTTTGAGATGTAGTCTCGCTCTGTCACCCAGGCTGGAACACAGTGGCGCGATCTCGGCTCACTGCAACCTCTGCCTCCCGGGTTCAAGCGATTCTCCTGCCTCGGCCTCCTGCATAGCTGGGACTACAGGCACCTGCCACCACACCTGGCTAATTTTTGTATTTTTAGTAGAGACAGGGTTTCACCATGTTGGCCAGGCTGGTCTCAATTGCCTGACCTCATGATCTGCCCACCTCCGCCTCCCAAAGTGCTGAGATTACAGGCGTGAGCCACTGTGCCAGGCCTGCAAACAGTCTCTTAATTAAACTATCCTCAGTGTACTCAACTGGACTGTGACATCTTTCTCTTGTTGGGCACTGGTACAGTAGTTCTATGAGGCTATTTGCTAAAATGATCTTATCTCCATTGTACAAATTAGAAGCTGAGGCAAGAGGAGGCTAAATAATTGCCTAAGGTCACAAAACCAGTAAGAGGTAGAACTGGGATTTAAACTCCAGCAGTCTTGTTCCAAGATCGTTGAAACCTAAGAGAAGGCTACATAGTTGAATATGGTGGTGCCGCTGTAGTCCCAGAGACTCAGGAGGCTGTGGCAGGACAATTGGTTGAGCCCAGGAATTTGAGGTTACAGTGAGCTATGATCATACCACTGCACTGCAGCCTGGGTGACACAGTGAGATACTGTTGAAAGAAAGAAAGTAAGAGAGAGAGAGAGAGAGAGACAGAGAGAAAGAAAGAAAGGAAGAAAGAAAGAAAGAAAGAGAGAAAGAAAGAAAGAAAGAAAGAGAGAGAGAGAGAAAGAAAGAAAGAAAGAAAGAAAGAAAGAAAGAAAGAAAGAAAGAAAGAAAGAGAAAGAGAGAGAGAGAGAAAGAAAGAAAGAAAGAAAGAAAGAAAGAGAAAGAAAGAAAGAGAAAGGAAAGAAAGAGAGAAAGAGAGAGAGAGAAAAAAAAAGAAAGGAAAGAAAGAAAGAAAGAGAGAAAGAGAGAGAGAGAAAAAAAAAAGAAAGGAAAGAAAGAAAAAAAGAAAGAGGCAGAGAGAGAGAGAGAAAGAGAAGGAAAGAAAGAAAGAAAAGAAAGGAGAAAGAAAGAGGCCAGGCATGGTGGCTCACACCTATAATCCCAGCACTTTGGGCGGCTGAGGTGGGCGGATCACCTGAGTTCAGGAGTTCAAAACCAGCCTGGCCAACATGGTGAAACTCCATCTCTATTAAAACTACAAAAATTAGCTGGTCGTGGTGGTGGGCGCCAGTAATCTCAGCTACTCGGTACTCGGGAGGCTGAGGCAGGAGAAAGAACGGAGAAAGAGAGAGAGGGGGGAGAGAGAGAGGGCAGGGGCGCGAGAGGAGAGAGAGAGAGAGACGGCTACAGAACTGACCACTGAGGAACACGGGGATTCAGTGCAAGCTGAAGAGACCTCAGGAAGGCTGCTGTGCATCTGGGCGGAGGAGAGCAGGAGTAGGAGCCCAGCCTCAGGCGCGCTGAGGCGGAAGAGAATGTCCTGATGGGAGACACTGCCACTGCTAGTGGCTGCCTGCCCCTTGTCCCTCCTGAGCTGAGCCATGCAGTTAGCTGACCCTGCCAGGAAGAGGCTGAGAAGAGCCTCACCAGGGATGAGCTGCGAGGGCCAGAGGTGAGGATGATGCTGACATAGGAGTGAAGGTGTCCCACCCTGTTCCAGGCCACAGCCCTGCCACCCTGGTGAGTGGCTTGGCCCAGGTGTGACTGGTGTGACCAAATGGATTTACTCCACTGGGGAAGGGCTCCTGGGTTTGCCTCCCTCCACGACGCTGCCTGGCAGCACCGCCATAAAAGCCTGGCCAGGCGCTTGGGAGAGCCGGGACCGAGAAGCAAAAGTGAGAAGAGGAGACACAGGACCAAGGAGATGCTCTCCCTGCTCAGTGGGCTGGCTTTACTTGCCATTTCCTTCCTGCTCCTGAAACTTGGCACCTTCTGCTGGGACAGGAACCACCTTCCTCCTGGCCCATTCCCCTTCCCCATCCTTGGAAACCTGTGGCAGCTACGATTTCAGCTGCACCCAGAGACACTGCTCCAGGTAGGAAGCCTGTGCGAAAGCTGGAGGCCCTAAAGCGGTGGACAGATGAACCCCTCCTCTCTCTCAGCCCAGCGGCACTGGAGACAGAAAGAAGGAACGGGTCAGACACGTGTGGGGTGAATCCTAGTCTTGCCATTCATTAGCTGGGAGGCTTTGAGCCTCAATTTCCTCACCTGTCAAATGCAGGGTGGTAGGGGGATTGCAAAAATTGTGGACTTTGTGCAGAATCTAAGAAGTCTAATCTAAGAAATTCTGAGTGCAGTAGAAGTCCACTGCCAATGGAACAGGATGGCAAAAACCACTGAACAGAATTCGACTCCAGGAGAGCACTGTGTGTGGCTGGAAGAAGTTTTCTGAAAAGCCACTTGAGATGGGAGTTGGGGGAAATGGGACCCCCACAAGGGCACATTCAAGTGATGTTACTCAAGGAATCGCTGCACAAAGTCACTGCCAGGGTAGTTGGAGCCTCAGCTGAAGGGCGCTGTTGGATTGAGTGGGTGGAGCTGGGTTGCTGCTGAGAACGATGGCGGGCAGGACACTGTGTTTCCTGAGGCCATGCTCAGCCCTCTTCTTTATCACACTCAACAAAAATTTTTAAAATATCTGGTTGGCGCTGTCAGACAATTATGATCCTCAGGCTTCCCACGCAGTGGAAAGAGCACTGTACTGGGAGTCAGGAGACCTGGGTTCAAGGTCCTCATCTTTTACTGTCTTTTTTGGCCTCTGTTTTTTGGAGTTTTGTTTGTTGGTTGGTTGGTTGGTTTTGAAATGGAGTCTCGCTCTGTTGCCCAGGCTGGAGTACAATGGCACAATCTCAGCTCACTGCAACCTCCGCCTCCCAGGTTCAACCGATTCTCCTGCCTCAGCCTCCCGAGTAGCTGGGATTACAGACCTGCACCACCATGCCCTGCTAATTTTTGTATTTTTAGTAGAGATGGGGTTTCACCATGTGGGCCAGGCTGGTCTCAAACTCCTGACATCAGGTAATCCACCCGCCTTGGCCTCCCAAGTGCTGGGATTACAGGCGTGAGCCACTGCGCCCAGTCTGGCCTCTGTTTTTTAACTCATAAAATGGAGATAAAGAGCCTACCTGCACACTTATACCGAGGGTGGACTCAAATAAAATATGTAAAGCCCACGTGGGACACCAAGTCCTGGAGAAACTGGTTATTTACTATCATCTGTAACATGGGTAGAACATTCCCACCTCCCAGGATTAATGGGGTGAAAGTGCTGGGCCCTGACTATTCCAAGTGCACGGGGTGGGCCTGTGACCCAGGGCTTGGCTTGGCTCCCCTGGGGAACAGGACTGGAGTCACTCTGAGAAGGTGTTCCTACGGTAAGTGTCACCCCGTCTCTCCACAGCTGGCACAGACCCACGGCAGTGTGTTTGTTCACAGTGTGGGTGAGCCCGATCCCCATCGTGGTGCTGAGTGGCTTCCGGGCGGTGAAGGAAGCGCTGGTCTCCAACTCGGAGCAGTTCTCCGGCAGGCCCCTCACCTCGCTCTTCCAGGACCTGTTTGGAGAACAAGGCAGGGCTGCCCCTCCTGCTGGGGAGGAGGAGGCGGCTAGATGGTCACTACACTCAGGGAGTTGGGGCTAGCCCAGAGCTGTTAACAGAGAGGGGACTGCCAGGAGGACTTGTGTGAGGGGAGGGGGTGGTATGACAAGGAACCAGATCTGGGGGTTCAAAGATCTGGATTGAAGTCTCAACCCAAGCCCTGGCCAGCTCCGTGACGCAGGGCAAGTCGGCCTCACTCTCTGCCCCTCAGTAGGCTCCTGTGTAGATGGGGATGACGATGGCTCTACATCCTGAGAATGTGGGGAGGGGATTAAGTGGCCAAAATACCTGATAGTGCCGGTTCAGTGCCTGGTTCAGCAAACACCCTTGTTCCCGCCTTGCCTCTCCCTAGAACCCCTCCTCCCCTGCGTTCTTTTTTTTTTTATTATTTGACCCAAAGTCTCATTCTGTCGCCCAGGCTGGAGCGCAGTGGAACAATCTTGGCTCACTGCAACCTCCCCCTCCTGGCTTCAAGCAATTCTTGTGCCTCAGCCTCTCGAGTAGCTGGGGTTACAGGCACATACCACCACACCCCGCTAAGGTTTTTATTTTTTTATTTTTATTTTTTTTGTAGTAGAGACCAGGTTTCAGCATGTTGGCCAGGCTGTTCTCGAACTCCTGACCTCAGGTGATCCACCCGCCTTGGCCTCCCAAAGCGCTGGGATTACACATGTCAGCCACCACGCCCAGCACCCTGCATTCTTAATCTCCTCTTCCATTTCTTGTGGGGACTCTTAAAGGAAAAATCGGGTTGGTGGACTGGGGGAGGGCATAGCTGAGACCATCTTGAGGGCGCCAAGCTCACTGACCACTCCCTCAAATGCCCTTCAGCCCCGGGGCAGAGCATCATCCCAGAGGTGATTCTGGGGTCTGCCCTCCAGGTCCGGCCCCTGTGAGAGCCGAGTGGTCTTGGTCTGGGAGGCTGGGATGGCTAGTGACTGTCCACCCCACTCTGCCCCGGACCCAGGCATCGTCTGCAGCAGAAGGCACATGTGGTGGCAACAGAGACGCTTCTGCCTGGTGACGCTTCAAGGGCTGGGCTTAGGCAAGCTGGCGCTGGAGGTGCAGCTGCAGAAAGAGGCAGCAGAGCTGGTGGAAGCCTTCCGCCAGGAGCTCGGTAAGTAGCAGGCTGGCGGCAGGCCTACCCTCACCCCCTCTCCCCCCACACACACACGCCTATGCAGTGAGGCTTGCCTCCTCTGCAGAGGCGTATGTGTGTCCAGGAAGCCTCAGAACGTTAATAGCAATGTTAAGCTCCATCGAGTGGGAGTTTCTCCAAGGTGGGTGGACAGAGGCCCAGGAATGGCCAAGGTCACTGGGAAGCCAGAACCCTCCTTGACAGCTGGGGAAGTATCCTCCACCAACATCCAAGGCGGCCAGGCGTGGTGGCTCCCTCGTGTAATCCCAGCACTTTGGGAGGCAGAGGCAGGCGGATCACCTGAGGTCAGGGGTTTGAGAGCAGCCTGGCCAACATGGTGAAACGCTTCTCTACTAAAAATACAATTAGCCGGGTATGTTAGGCTAATCCTGTAATCCCAGCTACTCCGGAGACTGAGGCAGACGAATCGCTTGAACCCGGGAGAAGGAGGCTGCAGTGAGCCGAGGTCATGCCATTGCACTCCAGCCTGGGCCACAGAGCAACACTCCATCTCAAAAAATAAATAATAAATAAAATAGCAAAAAACTAACAAACAAATCATCCAAGGCGTCTCACACCTCTAGCCATTGGCACATGCTGTTCCCCTTCCAGAACATCCCAGCCCATGTCCCTTCCTTCCCCATGAGAAACCACTGCTGCTTCCTCCAGACCAGCTGTGGTCACCTGCCCTGAGAAATCCTCCTGAATGCCAGGCCCCCAAACCTTTTTATTCCCGGCTGTGACACAGCTGCCCCACATTCTGTTGTCATTCAAATGGCTGTCTGTCTCCCATGCCTCTCTCTGACCTGGCTCATAGAAAGTGCTTGGTAAGCACTTGGGTTTTTTTGGTTTTGTTTGTTTGTTTTGTTTTGTTTTTGAGATGGAGTTTCGTTCTTGTTGCCCAGGCTGAGTGTAGTGGCACGATCTCGGCTCACTGCAACCTCCATCCCCCGGGTTCAAGTGATTCTCCTGCCTCAGCCTCCCAAGCAGCTGGGATTACAAGTGCACACCACCAGGCCCAGCTAATTTTTGTATTTTCAGTAGAGACGGGGTTTCACCATGTGGGCCAGGCTAGTCTCGAACTCCTGACCTCAGGTGATCCACCCACCTCAGCCTCCCAAAGTGCTAGGATTACAGGCGTGAGCCACCATGCCCAGCCGGTAAGCATTTGCTGAGCGCGTGAGTGAGGAATGGGAATGGAGGACCCAGTTAGTAAATGAGCGACTATATACAAGATCAGATGGGTGCTCAGGGCAGTGCTTTCTTGTGCCTCCTTGTCCCGAGCCCTGCCCCTCTGCCCTCAGGTAGATCCTTCGACCCTCAGGTATCCATTGTCAGGTCCACAGTCAGAGTCATCGGGGCCCTTGTGTTTGGCCACCACTTCCTCTCAGAGGATCCCATCTTCCAGGAACTGACTCAAGCCATCGACTTTGGCCTGGCCTTGGTCAGAACTGTGTGGCACTGGGTAATTGGCATCTAGGGAGGCAGGTGTGCAGGCCATTAGACTGGGGGCCGAAGGCAGACAGGGGCCTTAGCCAGGCCCTGGCAGGGAGGGTGCAAGGTGGGCAGGAGGGAGACCGTGGCTTCTGCCTGGTAGCTGACACATTCAGAGCTTCAAATCTTTGTTGTGGTTCAGCATGAATGCATGGGCAAGGAATCAGAGGCTGGTTATATCCTCAGAAATACAGCTTTCTGGACCTGCCACATCCAAGTGAAGCCCTAAGCACAACTGCTCTGACCACAGCTCTCATTTCTGTCCAGATTATTTTGGGGGTCTCCAGATGAGAGGCAGCCCTGGGTTACTCAAGTCAAAGGCCCCAGCCCACTTTGGAGACCCCTGACTCAGGGGCTGGCTCCTGAGTAGGCCCTGGGTGGGCCTCTCTCTCCACAGCTGCACGATGTGTTTCCCTGGGCCCTCTGCCACCTCCCAGGACCCCACCAGGAGATATTTAGGTACCAAGGGGTCGTGCGGAGCTTAACCCGCCGGGAGATTACCGGGTGCAAACTCAAAGCACCGGAGGCCCCCAAGGACTTCATCAACTGCTCCCTGGCCCAGATCTCCAAGGTGAGCCTGGAACAGCTGCTTGGGAAAGGAGGGGCCATCTTTTTCGGCTGCACCTCGTTTCTAAGCCATGGTCTCAGTTTCTCATCTTTGGCTCTGTCTACAAGCTTCCAAAGCACCCTGAAAACTTGAGTTAAAACAGGGTTTTCCTCCCTGCCTTTTCCCAGGGCAGGGCTGGCTTCTGCAGGCATGGGTAGGGTGGGAACAGAAGACCTGGCTGATGTCAGGGCCAGAACACCAGGGCAGCCCCCCATCAACATCAGTGCAGTCCTGAGAGTCAGGCCCTCTCGAGGGGTTGGAACCTCAAGTTCTGGCCACACAGGTCTCAGATCAGGCTTCAAGGAAACCCCAGGGCTCTGTCAGGAGAGAACTTTAGACCTGGAGCTGCACCCCCCACTCACCCATCCCCCACTCGCCAGGCCATGGATGAGCCTGTCTCCACATTCCACGAGGAGAACCTGGTCCAGGTGTTGATCGACCTGTTTCTGGGAGGCACCAACACCACGGCCACCACCCAGCGCTGGGCACTCATCTACATGATCCAGCACGGAGCTGTCCAGGGTGAGGAGCCCTTGGTCACGCCCTGGCTGACTGCCCCATGCGTGGGGCTCCTGGGCCATGGGCATTGCCCCCATCACTCTCCTTGCTCTGTGGCCCCAGGGGTGGGTCCTGCTCTCACCGCTGTGGTACAGGAAGTGTTCATGACTTTGAGTCAGACAGGAGGGGCTTCAGTTCCCACCCTGTTGCTTACTGTGTAATGCTGGGCAAGTCATTCCACCTCTCAGACCCAGTGTACAATGGACAACACTATTCTACTCATTCAGCAATGATTCAGCACCTACTAAGTGCCAGGCCCTGTGCTGATGTCCACCTCAAGATCACAACTGTGAAGGGGAAAATGTAACTGGATTTCTCTCAAGGACAAACTGACCATGACCTGAATTCAAATCTGGTGCCACAAGTTTCGTGACCTTGGGCAAAAGTACCTGTCCTGTTACAGCCTCAGTTTCTCCATCTGTAAAATGGAGACAACAGGCCCCCCTCCATAACAATGCTTTTTTTTTTTTTTAGACGGCATCTTGCTCTGTTGCCCAGGCTGGAGGGCAGTAGCATGATCTCGGCTCACTGCAACCTCTATCTCCCAGGTTCAAGTGACTCTCCTGCCTCAGCCTCCCGAGTAGCTGGGATGACAGGTGCGTGCCACCACAAGCAACTAATTTTTTTGTATTTTTAGTAGAGATGGGGTTTCATCATGTTGGCCAGGCTTGTCTAGAACTCCTGACCTCAAGTGATCTGCCTGCCTCGGCCTCCCAAAGTGCTGGGATTACAGGCGTGAGCCACCACGTCCAGCCAATATTTATTTATTTTTGAGACAGAGTCTTGCTCTGTCACCCAGGCTGGAGTGCAGTGGCATGATCATGGCTCACTACAGCCTCCACCTCCCGGCTCAATCAATCTTCCCACCTCACCCTCCCGAGTAGCTAGGACTACAGGCATGAGCCCCCATGCCTGGCTAATTTTCATGGTTTTTGTTGTTGTTTTGTTTTTTGTAGAGATGCAGTTTCACCATGTTGCCCGGGTTGGTCTCCAGCACAGTTGAAGATGACAGCTCTCTGGTGATCCAGCTTGAAACAGGTTTCTGTGCAGATTTTTGACACGAGCTGGACAATAACGTGATGACACCTGCTCTTTGCCCAGGCTTGCTGCATGCTGAGAGCTTTGTGCCCGCGGCGTCATTTGATACAATGGTGCTCTGTATTGTTGACGGAGCCATGCAGATCCTAGATGACAGATGTTGAGTTACTTACCTATCTTACGGTGTAACAAATTACCCCAAAACTTAGTGACTTTAGAACAACAGCATTTATCACGTCACAGTTTCTGAGGGTCGGGAAAATGGGTGCGGCTCAGATGGATGCCTCTGACTCAAGATCTCTCATGAGGTTACCATCAAGTTGTTGCTGGGGCTACAGTGTCACCTGAAGACTCCCCTAAGGGAGGCTCCACTTCAAGCTCACTTACACGGAGGTCTTCAGGACCCAGTTGCTCATGAACTGTTGGCTGGAGACCTTCAGTTCCTTGACACATGAGCCTCTGCATTGGACAGCTCAAAACATGGCAGCTGACCCCCATCAGAGACAGCAACCAAGAGGGCACCCAAAATGGAAGCAACGGTCTTTTTGTAACCTAATCTTAGATGTGATATCCCATTGCTTTTGCCATAACCTTTTTTTTTTTTGAGACAGAATCTCGCTCTGTCACCCCAGGCTGGAGTGCAGTGGTACAATCTCAGCT